GATAGGAAAGCAGAACACCTACAAAATAAGGCTGTAATTTTTTATGCTTTTCTGAAGCATTACTGAAATCTTAAGAGTATCTACTAGTTATGGACTCTTATACCATTCTTAACACCTGTTGTGTTGACACTATTGTGTTCTGGAAGCTGATGTACATGAAATCTTTTTCTTTCCTCCTGATTTTTTTTAAATTTATTTATTTATTTTTTAGCTGGATCAGTCTCCCAGTCTGCTTCATTATACAGCTACACAAACAGCCATGGCAATATAACGCAAAAAGGTGGCAACTGATTGTCAATGGAATGTGTTTTCTCAAACAGCGCTGCTGCTATCCACAGGCTTGATGCATCAGTAATATCCCACATGGATAACTTAGCTCTTAGCTGGGGAATTCTGGGTTTGAAGACTGTTATTGCCATCTGTTTGATTGTAACAGCAAGACTGGAAAGTCATGCATGCATCTAGTGTTTCTTGTTGGGTATATGCTACCTACTGCCAGGAGATGATCTTGTTAAAGGATGTGTTGGGCATTATTGACATATGATACTCCTATAAGCTGAAGCTTCTTCATATGCCTCTTGCATTGGCCCCTTAGTTGGCTAGAACACCTGTTAAGCCAAGATCAAGGAACTGAGCTGACTTAAACCAAGCTACAAGTAACCCCAGAAAAAAAAGTCATGAAATTTGCTTGCACAACTAAAAGTAAGAAGTGGTGTTAAACTTGCAAAGCTTAAATTAGCGCAGCCAAAATGTATTACAAAACATGACTCCAGTTTATCTACATAAAAACCAGAGAATAGACTGTGACAATGCAGTCTTTTGTACATAGTGCCAAAACTTCTGATACATCCCCTGACAGTAAAATCTCTGAGAAATAACTGTCATAGTTTCTTCTGATCTGTAACTTATGTTTCAGTTGAAAGCTATGCTATGTTAACTGTAGTAGGGCTGCTAGCAATAAACTCTCTCAGCCTTGTTGTAAACCTATGCACCATGCCATTTTTTTAATCTTGCATGTGGTTTGATAGCTGTGGGTCTAGTAGTTCTTTCCTGGTTTTCATATTGTCTTTACAGAATGACTTTATTTCTAATACATTTCAAACTGTCACAATTTTGCTGAATAGTTTTTTCCATCAAGTCTTAATGTTCCTTTCCAAAATTAGAAAAGATAATAGTGCAATATTCTCCTAGCAGTTATCTCTGAAGACACTAATACAAATTTCTGAAGGGATCAGATGATTGCAAGTATGAAGTAGGTAGTTGGCATGTATGAGGTAGCAAGAGTACAAATGTATATCACAAGTTACGAAGTGGTCCTTCCAAATTCTGATTTACTTTCCAGGTATGCCTCTCTATTCCCTTTATCTTTTCCAAGACCCATACTAAGCAAAGGGAAATCAAACTTCATTTAAAGCCTTTAAATTTGATAAAACACCTCAACTTTGTCCTGGTAGAATAAGATTGTTATAGGAATCCTTGGGCCATAGGGGACATGGACAAGTCAAGGAATATTCTCCAGTGACTATCCAAATAGTCTTTTGTAGAGGTCAAGCGCTTTGGACCTGCATTCCCTCTGACAGTCTTTCCCACTAGTAAAAGGTTTCTAATAGTGGTAGACCAAAGCTATGTCGCATCTCTTCCTTTACTATTTAGGCCTTCCTATTTTATTTTTAAGCACTTTCTTTTTTTAATCTTCATCTAGACTATCTTCATGAATTTTTTTTCTCCTTTCAGAATTCTTTTGAGTGCTCATATTCCCAATAACTGTTTCCTCAAGTGCCTGCTTTAACTTTTTCTGACGGCCACAGAATTGCATTAAACTGGGCTGTAAACTGGAACTATCAAATTCAATGAGAGAGGCCGTATCACCACAATAGGCAGCTTCTGCCATTTTATCAACAGAATAGTTTAAGGCATTTAAGGGCCAGCTATCTGACCATCAATTTGTGCTTGCCTCTCAGGATCTGACTCCCATCTTGGCAGTTCTGCAGTCAGTATTTAAATAGGTTTCCCAGCACCTGTTTTCAGTTTGAGACTGCTGCTTTCAGATGCAAAAGCTAAAATATATGGCAATCATCCAAACAAGAAAGAGTAGTTACATTTAACTAAAGTTGGATTTCAGTAAAGATATTTAGGTATTAAAAATATCACACAATGAAATGCCCACTTATAGGTGAGATGGGGAGTTTCTATTGAAAATCAATGGGAATTATTTCATAGCTGCCCTTGGAGATCCCTCTAGATGCCTAGTTGCATTTTTAAGTAGTATTTGCTACTTTTTGAATGAGTAATTAATTATGGGGATGTTCACGACTCCTGTGACCATTGCCAGGAATCAAACACAGGTTAGCACCTAAAAACACAAGTGCGCATTTGGATTTAATAAAGCAACCCAATTTATGTCTTTACTTGAGCAAGTCACGAGGAGGAGACTTGTTTACCCAGCAAGCTGGCATAGCTTATGTGCTTGTTTCTTTGAGTGCAAAGTTGTCTCAGCAGTTTTGATCTGATTTGCCTGGTTGATATTTTGAAACACTTTCCCTGGTAGGTGTTTGAAAGCACAGATTTTTGAGAAGTGTGGAGGAAAGGGACAATGACAGATTAAAGTTTTGACTGTAAGTTCACCTCTCTAAATGGCTCTTCAGTAATGAGCAGAAGGAGGGAGATGCCAGCAGGGATGGAGAGCATCAATTTATATTTTCCTCCCATTTGTCTTCCTGTGCAGATCTCTTCCTATACTGGCCTTCTGCTAGATTACCATTTCCTCAAAATGCTAATAATTTGCTAATAATAATGCTAACCTACTTCTAGTCTTTTTGCTTTCTCTTGTCTAGTATTTTACTGGTATCACCTTTTTTAGAACTTATTCTCCATCCTGTCTAGCTATTCATCTTTTCTACAAAATGAGATGCTTTTTGGGATAGATCATGGCTTTGACTATATTTATGAAACATTCTGTAGGTCTGCAGTTCTGCTAAGATAAATAATCATCAAATGGAAATGAGAGAAGAGCATGGAAAGACAAAAATGTGGAAAAGGAGGAAAATGAGCTTAATCTTTATATCTCAGCTTCAGCAGCTGGTTAAATTTTAACTGACAATATAAAAATCAGGACTGACACAAAATATTTGATCTAAATGTGTGTTGTTAACTAAGATGATGAGAAAGTGATAACGAGTGCTAATAGGTTCGCCATGAGAGAGTACTTTGTATATTTCCTCATGAGCTTAATCCAAAATGCAGTCTTTGAAGCTCACTACAAAGAGAACAAAGACCTAAGAGTTTTATACCAAAAGATACCAGATGACAGAAGGAGAGAAAAAGGACTTTTGTTTTTTTATTGACTCTTTTCCAAACTTCAATTCTATGTAAGCTGACTTGTGGCTTCCACTTCTAATTTTAAAAAAGGCATTCGTTGTGTTTCTGTTGTTGTTTTTGCTTCAAATATTACAAGCAACTAGGGAAGTTTAGGAGAATGTTATACACCAAAGACTATGTCTACATCAGAAAGGAAAAGGGACAAGGGGAAAAGGAGTGGAATGAGCATTAACTTAAACATTTGAAATCACATTAAGTTGTTTGGTTATGAGATAATGCAGTCTCATATATAATGCAGTGCATTTCTTCTACCTGCTGGAAAGGTTTCAATTTACATTTTATGGGCTATCTTGCTATGCATATTTCTTTTACATACACATTAGGTATTCCTATTTGAAATATTTCATAATCACAATAGAATATGTCCTGATACAGGGCACTAAGAAATCATGTGTTTTAATGTATACCATTTGGTGTTAACCTACTGTTTGTCATGTTTGACAACTGATCCCAGTGCGATTTATGCCAAGCTACTGAAATTAGTGCTGTTCTGGAGATAAGCAGTAGAAAATTTGAAGGAACTTTCATGGCAAAAAACCTGAAGGCGCCTGAAGAATTCATACAGTTCTAGGATCAGATACTCGCTAGGTAGGATGTTGTCAGACCTCAGTTGTGGAACACCTAAGGTCCACTGAAATCCTTATAGAGGAGCCTGAATTATTCTTTGCACACAGCTTTTGCTGACCATACCAGAAATGTGACATTTTCTTATATCCTGGAGTATGTCCTCAAGCCAAGGAAGAAATAAACATTCTGGGAGAGGACTCTAGGTCTCTTAATGCCTTTTCTCCTTCCACCTAGGCTAGTTATAAACTTTTCCCTAAGTGGGTGGAAAATGCAGCTGCCTTTGAATTTCTGCTAGGTCTGGGCCCTGGCAGCAGGAGGAAGCCAGGAAGGCTGTTGCCAAGGCTGCAGGTTGTTTTTCTGGCACATCACAATGGAGCCATTTGTACCTGTTAGGAGACAGCCCAGGCTTCATCTCAGCCTTAGCAATATGAAGCTCCTTACCTTTTCTTACTTGGCTGCAGTGGAAGTTCTCTACCATAGATAAGATTGACCTTGCTACTTGGGATCAAGCCTTACAGCCTGCTTATGGATGCAGAATTATTTGATAACGATGTAAATCTATTGGTCATTAGTCATATGGTGTGAGATATTTCTTTTTTAAGGTAAAATCCCACATGGCTGGAACTTTTGCTTGCATAGGAAAAGGTAGAATATGATTTTGGACTAAGAACTGCCTAGGCTGGTTGAGAAAAGACCGTTTAATTTCATTTCTTGCTGCAAGTATCCTGAAATTCCTGGTTCACAGGCATCTCTTTTGGGACCATATCATCAGTGTGCCCAACATCCGAGTCTGCTTCAGGGAGCTTCGCATCAGCAGTACAAGTATTTGCTTACCACTCAGCTCATCCTGTGCATTGTTTGCAGTGCCATAGCAACCCCGCTTGCTGTGAGCCGCACAGCAGAGCCAGCCGGCCCTGGTGCAGACCAGCAGTCTCCAGCCAGACCCAGGGACTCTGCAGCTTCTACTTCTGGGCTGCATTCGAGGATTTCACCTTTGCAAATGAGGTTGTATGCTTGCAGGTGCGAGTGCCAGCCCTTATGCATGTAGATCCAGGATGCAGTCGAAGAGGCTTACCACTGGTACGTAGTGCTTTCCACGCAGGGTGATGGACTGACTGTGTCAGACAGGGGGTCTGACCCCACGGTGATTGTCTCGGGTACAGAGACTGTGATACAAAAGAGGGAGATTTTGAACTGCTGGGTTTGAACTTGCCTAGCAAAATTCATCAGTTTGAAGAGAGCACTTTAGTCCCTTCAAAGGGCATCACAAAAGATGGAATATTCTCCTAAAATGAGTGAGATCTGGTTATCTGGGAATACCCACAATTACTTTTTTTTTTTTTAAATTGTATCGTATGATTCATAATATTTGCTGTTCAAGGCTCCCAGTCTCACACAAATCTATTTTCATTAAAACCAGCAAGCTTCTACTAATCAATTTTGCAGAGGAAAGCTGAAAAGAAGTTAACTGATATGTATGAGAATAATCTAGTTAAATAATACTTTCATTACATTTAAATCATTCTTATGATATTCAACCTTTTTATGCGAGGGTCAACATTACTGCATGTTCCCAGAATTTATTTTGTTTCCTCAGGCTAAGTTATTTTATTTCAGAATATCCAGGAAGGTTGTCATGCCTCACCACTTTTTGTTTCTATTCAGTAATTGTAGTTGAACAAGCCTGATTGTATTGCTTGGATAACATATGATATTTCATTTTTGTGTTTCAGAGCCTCCATGTATAACAGAAGAAGTGTTTGTAAGTATGCTTTATAAGGGTTGATCATTCATTTTGTCATATAACTGTAGAGAAAAAAGGCAAAACTTTTTGGAAACTATTGTCTGGGTTCTCCTTTCTTCTGTATGGAGTACTCGGGAATTTCTCAGACAAAAAAATACTTAGTTTGAAAACAATTGAAAAAAGAAACAGAAAACTCTGGAGAATAAGGATGGAAATGGAGAGGAAAGTGAAATAAGATGAAGGAAGGAAACAATTGACTGAAATGTTCAACATGACAGGTTTACCAATCTTCTTACTTTGTTTTCTGCCCTTTGCTAATTTTAGGTTTCCCTGATGTTTGCCATCTCATTTGAAAGATATGTATGTTTACCTGTTACCTCATATGAAATGCCATCTTAAATCTTGCAGCTTAAGCAATGTTTATCATCTCCCCTATTTTGGATGCCTTTGTAACTGTGTATTTTAAAGTATAAATGTATTGCTATTCCTTTTGGGAGCCTCTAGATACTAATGCATTATCATAAGCAGAATCAAGACTGAATTCAGGTAGAGGTAAATGATATATATATAGCAGATATATAGCATATACGAATTTGTACATGAGAACAAACAGATATATATATATGAAAACATCTCTCAACTGCACATTTACATTGCATTAAACCTTGATTCTGCAGGCTACTTAATGTGACTAGATATGCATAACTCCAGGTGAACTTCACACAAGGACATGAAGATGTCAGAGTTCTATGCAGAATCAAGGTTTTGTACTAACTTTAACTTTTGACATTTAAAGGTGACATTTATTACATATTTTTCAAGAGTGGATGCAATGTGAAATGCAAGCATTTCAAGGTGGTGCCACTTTAACCTACATTCAGCTTCTCCTTTGGTATCTAATAATATTTCTGTGTTTCTGTACTTTTTCATGATGGTAGTAATAGAGAAAGCTATCAAATACTATAGAGAGAAAGTCATTAGGTTTGTTTCCACAAAATATCTAAGAAAAGGTTGTGTACTGTTGCCAAAATGATTTTAAAATTCCTTTCAACGTTAAAAGAGTGAATAGAAATCAGGCCCAGGGTATTCCTATTTATACACAAATTGCATGAAGGCAAAACTGCAGTTTTGGACCAATTTTTAGCACACCTTGACCTCCAGTTGCAATTGTAAGGCAGATTTTTCTAGTGATAATTTGGACTGTGCAACAGGAAAGATGGCGTGGGAAGAAATGAAGCAAAATGTTTCCTAACACAAAAATCTAAGCTATAGTATTGTATGTGCAACTCCATAACCATAATGTGCAAGTATGAAAGTGCAACTACGCTTTCAAATGAAAATTTGACCACAAAAAAACAGAGGAAAGGGTGTTGTGTATAGATGCAGTAAGATCAGTAAGTAGCAAAGCTTGCATTAATAAGATCATAAACATTTTATTGATTAATCAACCACTGCGTTTACTTTTCTTGCTGTTATATGGGACTACAGAGAATTATATCCTTGGCAAATTAAAAACACATGTTACCTGCATATTCTTAAAGAGCTTATACTTCAGCCAGGAATAAATGAATTGTTTTGAATAAGTCCTTTGAAACAATAAAATATTTACATGGAGTATTACCATGTAGCTCTCTTCAGATTCATTCTTATCAGTGTCAAATCTAATTGTACGTTACTCAAACCAAACATGAGGCAGACTGCAGCTTGTTTCTAGTGAATTTTCTTGTTAATTGTGTTAACACTTGCTGAATTGAGATTTCTGCATCTGATTGATTGCCTCGTGACATTAGCAAGGGATTTTCTGTTGACTTGCAAATGCCTTGGGTTAGACACTTTGGTAAATTCTCCTATTTAATCAGTGCCTCTAACACCTCTAGGTCCATGGTACTGCAACTGCATCTGGCCTGTGATCCAAACAAAGCATGAACTCTGTAATGCAGAAAGCTTTGCTTTCAGTGTTGTTAGCGTTTTCCAAGAATGAGCGTGAGCTAACTTGCCTGTCCTGTATCAGTCACAGCAGTAACCACAAATGCTAAGGAATAAATGTTGGCAGCCTAAGGCCAGACAAACACCATCAGGTCTTGTCATGCAGCACACAGGGGCCTTTCTGAGTTCATATTAAAGTAGATTAGCTCAAGATTTCTTCCTTACCTAAGTACGAGATATCTCTATTGAGGTTAGACAGCGTGGAGTTTGGATCAAGCTACTGCCTGCCTACAAGTGAGGCACGTACACTGTGCATAACATCTCTTTAACACTGTTCCTCACCGGCACATTTCAACGCTATGAACTTAAGAAAGAGAAAAAATGATTTGTGTCACAAGACCTTTGCTGATATGGGCAAATACATTTGATTTAGGTGCATTCCCCTTGAGTTGTGAGACAGAAATAATAGAATATTCAAGAAACTGAAACTATTAAAAACTGTTCAGGAGTCTTCATTCTGCTGAAGACAGATGTCTGAAGACCAATGGAATAATGTTCTATTTTTACCTTCTGTTGGATTGAAATGGGAGTGGGAGTGGTATTGAGCATATTAGAAGTAAGATTGGGTTCCATACTTACTGATTTGTCAACAGCAAAAAAAATTATTTCTATTCTACAGTTTTTGAGTCTTGCTAGCAGGATCTAAAATGCAGGGGTCAGAAAGGGTACAAAAATACCTGCAGATGCAGCCTTCACTTCTGATAAAGTCAAGAGGAAGCCTCCCAGTTCTGTATTCCAAGTATGGCATATACTGCTTGCTTGGTGAGCCAAATTATAGATCAGTGGACTCCCTTTTATTCCCCAAACATCCCCCAAAACATCTCCAAGCAGCAGTGTGGGAGCAGAAGCAGGTACTGGTGAACTTTTGTACTCCCCTCCTTCCCAGATGTGAGAGAGAAAGGTTATGATGTGGGGGATTTCTAGACTGTTAGCTTACACACATTTTTTTCAAAAGTAAACATGCAGATTTCCAGCATTTAGAAGCTGTTGGGTTTACGAAGGCTTTATCTGTAAATTTCTTGGCAAAAGATTTACCTTCATGTGTGTGTTTTAAATTGCTAAGTGGTGTGCAATGGCTAGGATATAACAATGATGCAATGATTATATCCTCAAAAGTGGGAAATGACATTTTGCAAAAGTTTGCATGTCATATCTCATGGAAAAAATCATTGTTTGAGACAACAGTGCATTCAAACCGTGTTAGCAGAGATTAGTCCAAGCCTTGCTTTGTGGTTTTGTCTCTCTGTAGGAAGAATGCTTAGCCACAGACGATATGCTTGTGGACTACTTTAACGAATTTTTGAGTCTTCCGGTAAGTACCTTACAGAAATCCTTTGCAAAATACAAAAACCACATAAGGTAATCCAGCTTAGAACATTTTGCATTTTGCCACTGGGAAATTAAATGTTTTTTTACAATATGTCTGTATTTTAATGGTAACAATTCTTATTGTTCAATGTTATTATCTGTCAGGAAAAATAACACAGTATCTGGACTTCTGGAGGCAGGTTTTGTCTTGCAAATTTACATATTTAAATCACAGTGGACCAAAATAATATAAATAGGAAATGAAAAAAGAGATGTAAATACTTAATTAAAAAGCATAAGGAGTGCACTTCTATTCCAGTATCACGACATGCTGACATAACAAATGTTTGTCGTTTTACATTCTTCTGGCCATGCACTCTGATTAATAACAGCTTTTCCTCAGGAACCAACTCTGTTTCTCTTCATGGCTGTGAAGACATCAAAATTGGCACTCCCCTCCTCTTCCCCTCCCATCTGGAGCTAGAAGGATGTAGCCTTACACTTCATGCTGTGTGCTGATCCAGCTGCAGTCAGACCACCATACCCAATGCCCTATATTTAACCAGTTGCCCTATATTTTGCTCCTTTTCCCCATCAACTACCCTGCCTCCCTACAATCTTATGGGAGTCACATGGACTGTCCTGCTCCCTCAACGCAGCAACCTCACCCAACTTCATTTTAGTAGTCTTGGCCCTAACTATCCATCCCCATACATCACACCCACACCCTCCTGCAAGGTGGCACGGACCTTTCCACAGTGTCACGCATGGCTCCTGTGAGATCTCCCAGCGGATGTACCCTGGAGCTGCCCCACAGCCTGTCCTCCTCCTAAATCACTGCAGCCCAACTGGCTGCACTATGAGAACATATACCCATTTCTGCAACTTGCTTGTTAGGAACCACCACCAGCAGAATATTTCTTGGTGTTCCTTGGACCAAAGACTATGGTGCCAGCCACTATTGGAATAGGTTCAGTTATGATTCAGGCTTACCAAACTGAACTGGACTTAGACTCCCTAAACCACATCACAGATTTGTCTAAAAGTACACATAATGGGAGCTGTAGAACTAAGAATGGTAGGATGAGGTCTCTTATGCCAATTTTTGATCTTAAAATAGAATCTGGAGGTATTAAAATAACTCAGTATCAGAGTGTGGGTTTTGTGCACAGCATTGACACTTCTCTCAGGAAGTTCAGCCTTTATGTGCTTTCACCACAC